AGAGATAAGTTAAATATGCAACCCTCACTTCCCCACTAGTCATTAACTCTTTTTTTTTGGAACATCTTAATAACAGTTTTTAAAAAGTGCATCCAAAAAAAAAAAGAGCCCATCTTAGCCAGTGCACTCCTTGGTCTTTTGTCTGCACAAAGGCGCTTGCTCTAGTACCAGCTTTATACACTGTTATTAATATCATTGCTAATTAATAAATAGCGCTACTTGCAACAGTTCACTCAATCACAGCCACGCATACCGTTACAGGAGCAGGGTGTAACAGCTTCATGCACATGCTCATCTGCCCTTCTGCCCAGTGCTGCCTGTTTTCAAAGCATGCAAAAGCAATGTGTTCATGCAATGCAGGCTCCATCACAGAGGGCCTACACAAGCGCGTTTGGCCATAAGCAGCATGGATCACAAGCTCCAGCGTAGCCAAGCTGCAAGCCTGCATTAGCTGGTCTTGCCCGCAGTGCACGATGTGGCCATGTGTCTCTTTTTTTTTTTTTTTTAAAAAAAACCTAACTTGACCAACAAGTTTAATCTGCACATGCTCATACCTCAGAAAGGGTGACAAACTCAAGCATCACGACGTTTCAGAAGCAGTCTGTGCTTCTGCAGGGCTGCCATTCATAAGCGCTTTCAGTGCCTAGGAGAATATGGGAATTTCAACAAGTCTTTCTGCTCTGAAGATGCTCATGCTGCTTAGCACTGCAATAACTCGTAGAAGGGTATTGTAACAGCCTTCCCCTGGGTAACAGAGAGCAGCTTCAGAGACAGCCCGGAGAGATTGTTTCTGCCTGTTGTGTGTCTCAGACTACCTGATAAGTCCCAAAACCAGAGCATCTCCATACTTGCTCTGTTCCTGTTTTTTGCAGATGTGGGAACAGGAGGCAGCTGGGCATGAATCACTGGCTGCTGGGCTCCGCATAGCCATGCATGGTCTCTCTTGCAAAAGAAACGTGCCTGACAGGCGCTCTGCATGCTGGTATTGGTGCCGCCTTTCTTTCTGGGTTTGCAGCAGTTTCCCCAGGGCTCCTTCACTGTCACCCTTACACACGGCAAGCACCAAACCAGCAGCTATTCTCAGGCCATCTCAGGGTGAGATACCCTCCCTGCTGGCCAGCAAAAATCCAGAGCATGTATTCCTTGAAATCACTTTTCCAAGGGAAGGAGCAACCAAGGGCCAGCACAGGGCATGGGAGTGGTACAAGAATCAGCTCATTAAAGGAAAAAAGGAAGCCACAGCGGGTGCTAAAAGCCATGGCCAGGCAGGGCTGCTCCTTAGCGCGTCTGCCCTCGCTCCGCAGAGAGCTGCGCCAGTCCCGCTCGCCTAAGAAGGCGCCTCTGCTGCCATTTCCCTCCACTCACCGGGACTCTGGCCATTCAATCCCACTGCTACTAGATGCGAGCAAGCTGACAGCGCACCCAGTTAGCAGGCATTAATTACCGAGCAAATTCGACGTACTCTGGCAAGAAGCCAGCACCGCTGTGTTACCAGAGAACGCGGCAGTGAGCCCCAGGCACGGCGCTCACCAGGCACGCACCACGCGTGCACCGCTGCCAGGCTAACAGGGCTGTACAGGCACTACTCCTCCCCCTCTTTCCTGTTCTTTTTTCATTTTTGTTTTGCCCCTCCTGATCAGCCCTGACTCCCCATATGCCAAAGAAGCGCTAGAAGAGCGACACGATTTTTCCAAGGCCCCCGGCTAATGATCAGGACCCGCTGCACAGGAATCGGCCAGCTCCTGCCCCGGCAGGCCAGCAAAGTATTTGCAGCTGCTCCCCGAGAGAGCCGGAGAACAATGAGAAATAACCGC